TTTGTTCAGGCAAGAGCCTCAATGCTCATGTTTGTAGCATCATTATTGACTCTCTTGAGTATTGGAGGTTTCCCATCATTTGTGGAGGAAATAAAGGTCAGAAGAACATTCATTTTTTGCTCTATTTCTGTCACAGAACAACCATCCTGATTAATTTTGTGAAGTAAATGCATACAGGTTTTTCAACGAGAAAGATTGAATGGGCACTACGGGGTTGCAGCATTTGTTATTAGCAACACAGTTTCATCAGTTCTCTTCCTGTTCCTCATAGCTGTCATTCCCGGAGTGATTGCTTATTATCTGGTAGGACTGCACCGGGGAACTGAAAGATTTCTCTACTTCACTATGGTACTCTTTGCTTCTATTGTGTTGGTTGAAGGCCTCATGATGATTGTAGCAAGTTTGGTACCAAATTTCCTAATGGGATTGATTATTGGGGCTGGTACTCAAGGTGTAATGATGCTGAGTGGCGGTTTCTTTCGTTTACCAGATGATCTGCCAAAAATATTTTGGAAATATCCAATCTACTACATTTCCTTCCATAGGTATGCATATCAAGGCCTATACAAGAACGAGTTTGAAGGGCTGAAATTTCCCAGTAATGAGTTGATGATGGGTGGATCTTCTCTGATTGATGGTGAAACTATTTTGAGAGATACATGGCAAGTTGAGAGGGGCTACTCCAAGTGGATTGATCTGGCAATCTTGTTTCTAATGGTGATCATATACAGGCTCTTATTCTTCGGGATAATCAAAGTAAGAGAAAGCATTAAACCTCTGGTCAAACGTTTTCACCTGGGGCTTTCGTATAAGAAAGAATGATTTGTGAATTGCTCACTAGGCTACTTCAAAGGGCCAAGAGAAAGAAGCTCTGGCTGGAGATTTAATAGGTTCTGTATCAGACTCGTTTCGTTAGTCTCAGTAGTATGTTACTTACTGGCCTAACATCAATCTTAGCATGTCCAAATATTAAGGTGAGTCTTTATTTCTCTTGTTGGAAGCAAGAACCATCCTGGAGTTGGATGAGTTGAACTAAATATAATTGAGAAAGTTTTAGCTGTTAATCACTAAAGCGAACCGCTTCAATTTTTACAAATAAATTATCCGTCAAAGAAATCACGATCGTCATTCTTCGAATCTATTTCTTTAAGAGCAACGAATTTGCACGTGATCCAAAAGATGTCGTCATGAAGCCAAATATATTACTCCCCGGAAGGGAAAAAGGGTTACGTTTAAGGTGCGTTTAATAAAACTGAAATTTGAAATTTAAAATCTGAAATCTGAATCTATTAAGTTATTGAATTGTTAAACATTAAATCTAATACATTTAAGTGCATATTACATTCAATGATAAATAAATAGCTTAACACTTAATTTTGGAAGCAAATTTTGTCTACAAAATTCAGTACCATTTAGTTAATTCAGATATTTAATTTTTGGTTATCAAATAATCTGAATATATTGAAATCTAAATCCATTAAATTTAAGTACTGAAGTGGATTACTTCTCCTCGGTCCTCACAAATCGCTAGTAGAATGCCAAGATGGTTCGTAGCTCTACACAATCCCATTAAATTCCTCCAACCCAACTAGAATGCTTCTTACGGAAACGAGAACTTGAGAAATTAAACCTAATCCTAGAACAGTACTCAAAAGCCGGCAACTCTTGAGCATGTCCCAGGGACTTAACTACCCAACCCCCAATCCCCCCAAGACCGATGTGGGATAGAAACCCCAACAGGGGCCAAGCCCAGAACTAGAATGCATTCCGTGGAAAACAGAAGCTACAGTAAGAACTTCCAGGGCTGACGTCAATTTCAGTATTTTACCTGCTCGTTCGCTGGCCTAGCAGTGATAAGACAAGTAGAACTATTAGTGCAAAAATGGAAGGTGACGAAAAGTGTAACATGTGTAGGCATGGACCGGGGCAAGAAGCAACTGTCCCGAAGATTACGTGTATTTTACACACGACATAATCGTGTTTACATGCAGTATAACTTATTTTTAATAATGTGTAATTTTAAAATAAAATTTTGTGAATTTCACGCATATTAAAAAAGAGATACAAGATGAAATCTGAACCTTACAATTTTTTTTTATCAAATCTTGGCCGTGACCTACCAGGGACGGCTACTTCTCTTCCGTGTAGGCATGGTATCTGTTTCTTATACACGTGTCATGGGACCTTTCCAAAAGGAGGAAACTCTAAAAAGTTTCTTGCATATTACCTGAATTTTATTTTTTAATTATATAATAAGCATGTTGTGCAACAAAAATATATATACGATAAGGTATGCAAAATGATTTTTTGGGGCATGCAAGAAACGTTCTCCACCTAGAAAATATAATAGCAAGATATGATACGTACGCTACAAGAAGAATCTGTGGATTCATAAGAAAAGATCAAAACTATCATTACCAAAACCAGTAGTCTGTTACTTGCAAACTATACGTTGGAGGATATATCTTATTAACATATATAGTAAATGTGTGAATGCCAATCCCTCCAATTGAACCCAATTGCTGACGTGGCGTGCTGTGATTGGCTGATTGATGGTAGTCCTCCGTTGATTGAGCTGATGAATTGAATTGAGGACAAAATTGAGATTTCACGCCTTGATGAATAGGTAGGGTTCCTGAGGGTCTTCACTTGCGCCGCTCATATACTCTTGCTTCTGCTCCGTCTTTCTTCCTTTCTTCTCCGATTCTTTCTCCCTTTCTCCTTTCTTTGTCTTTCACTTCTTCTCTTTCTTCTTTAATTGAACATTAAATAACAGTGCAAGACAAAACAAAGGTCACACGTTGGGCTTCTTCTTATCTTACAAGTTAAAGGGTATCTCCAGAGCTTCTCTTCCCTTCCATTTTTCTTTTCTTTGTTCCTTTCTTTGGGAAGAAAATAAGATTCGGGATTTTCTCTCCCAGAAATGTCAAAATGTTTTTCCTCCTCTTAGTTTCTCTTCATCTCTCCAGTCTTTTTCTACACCGCCATCTACCCATTCTTTCTTCCTCTCATCAGTTGAATCATGAGTACACTGGATCATCCACCATTATAAAAGCAATATATATATATATATATATATATATATGGAGATCATTTTTCCCTTTTAAACTTTTCTTCATCTCCTTCTCAGAAATTGTCATCTTTATCGGTGATTTTTGTGGGTTTTTTTTTCCTAATACTCGATTGTACTTTCTATGGTGCTGTAGGTGAAAAGGTTGAATATTTACATGGACTACAGATTCAAGGTAAGTGTCTTCCACGACTTTTCCTTATCTTTAAAATCCAGATTCAAGCAAATTCTTTTTCTCGTATGCTTTTACTCTCATCTCTAAGATTTTTTTTTTCTGTTTTTTCGTATTGCTTTAAGAAGGAATAATTTGACTTCCCTATAATGTATTGTGCTCTTTATGATGTTTTGGTGAAACAATTTTTTGTTTTCGTTTTGGGTTTTTTGCTGTTGCTGTAATTTAGGGATTTTTTTTTTATGGAGAGCAGTGAAGGAGGGGATGATAATGTTCTGGACGGTTTAGCAAGTCAAAAAAGGTTTGCATTTTTTCATACCCTTTTCTAAATAATCAAGAACATTATTATTGTACTTTTTTGGATTGAAATATCTTATATTTCACAACATTTTGCCGAAGGATTAATAGGGAATGGCTTTGGAAATATGCTTTGAACAATCAATTGTATGCATGTAGAAAATTACTCCAGTTCTTTTGTTTGATTTGAAAAACGAGGTAGTGTATTTTTTGGTGATACAGGAAGTTTTCTGAAGCAAGACTTATCACTTGAGATATGATAAGTGAATGGGTAATATAGTTGAAGTTTTGATGTTAGAAATCACATTGGAAATGGTGATACATTTGACCATAAACCTTTTACGAATAAGAAATTTTTTTGCTTTCACTGGACTAGAATGCACCTACTTTTACACTTTTTTTCTTCATTCCGCCAATTTTTTGTCTCCTATGTTTCAGAATTTTTTGTCTAAATGTTTTCTTTTAACCCGAAAAAGTAGAAATAGGCTTTTGTGTGTGCCTATAGGGGTTTAAAAAGTAAATGCACTTTTAGAGTTAAATAAAAATGAATGGTCCTTGACGATATGTTTTAATTTCCCTTTTTTTTGTGAACAGATTTTTTTTCATTGTAACTTACTGTAACTTTCTGCTCTCTTTATCCTGTTATTGGTCTTTACAAAAGTGAAGGGTGAAAATTTGTGACGGCATCCTATTTCCTTTAGATCCAAAGTTATTTTCTTTTACTTGTTTTACTTGCTCCGTTTTTAATTGTTTTGAGTTCTCTGTTTGAGAATCATACATTGCCAGAACCTAAAGCTCAATTTCTTTTTTTGCAGAATTCAACTCAGACATGTTATTGCTTGTACATTTGCTGTTTGGCTTGTAGCTTTACTTGTTCCCTTTTTCTAGAGATATGTCTTGTTTTTGTTTTTTTAGTTTTTGTTTATTTGTCAACCTTATTGATAATTTACTTTTCTTTTTGTTTATCAACTCAGTAGTGGCAAGGAGAGTAAATTAAGTTGTTTTCCTAGGTAATTTGTAGTTTGCCTTTTGTTGGAACTTTATTTTGGTTGGCAATGTCAACCTAGCCAGTTAAAAAACGGCTTAAAAATTTGGGAATAATGTATGAAAAATTTGTATAGCAGATTCAAGGCTGTATGAATGTCTTGCTGATAAGAGCTGGTAGCTTGTGGCTTTCGGTAAAGCCACGACTTCTGAAATTGCATGTCATATTTCCTTTGAAAGTCTCTCAATAAAATTTTAAAATATGGGGATCAAAAGGAATAGGAGGGGCAGGGATAGGCCTGCTGACGATCCGAGCTGCTCGCGAGCAGCTCGGGTCAAAGCTCGGCTCGAGCTCGTGTTGACCGAGCTCGAGCCGAGTTCGAGCCGCTAGTTAATATAAACGAGCCGAGTACGAGTCTTTATTTCATAGGCTCGATAGTTCGACGAGCCGCTCGATAGGCTCGAATAACTGTGAAATTATAAAAATACCCCTACATCAATTAAAATTTACAAGTTTATGACTATTTCTCATTTTCTCCGTCGATTTACCTAATTCCCAAATCCTCACTTCCTCGGCCGACTCCTGCCGATTCCCAACTCCCAAACTCCAAATTCCCACTTCCGCCAGCTCCACCTCCACCAGCTCCACCCAGCTTTTGCAGGTATGTACTCAGCTTCTCTTTCTTTTCCTTTTCCGTTTTCTTTCTTCCCCAGCTTGGCAGCCCCCTCCTTTCAAAGCTTTAGATCTATGGATAATAGCTTTCTTTCTTTCTTCCCCTGCTCGGTAGATCCATCCTTTCAAAGCTTTATCATTCAAAGCTTTAGATCTATTGCAAAAGAGGTAGTTGTGGACCCCCGTGATGTTCTTTTGTTTTTTCTTCTACGGTGGTCCAACTTAGGGGCTTGAAGCAGATACATTGACTGGGGAACCCATCTTGAGGCTGATATTGATGGAAATGGAGTTCTGGACTATGGAGAGTTTGTAGCAGTGACGATACACTTGCAGAGGATGGAGAATGATGAGCACTTTCGTAGAGCGTTCATGTTTTTTTGACAAAGACGGATTTTTAGTTAATTTGGATATGGCAATTTTTGGTTGTTGTTTGGCCCCTTTTTATGGCTTATTTTTAGCTGTGTTAAAGCTATATTTTTGCCGATTTTTTGTGCTCAATTTCTCAATTAGCAGGCTGATTTTTTGACATTTTTTTGGCTGCTGTTTTTCTTTCTTTCTTTTTTCTTTTTGGATAGCTCATTTGCTGGTTTCTCTGGCTTCTTAATGTAATTAGAGTTGAAGAGCATAATTACAGTTTGGCTTGACGATGAATTGCTGAAGACATAATTTATATTTGAAATTTGTTGGTAACTAAAAATTTCAAATGTTGAACATTTAGATTTTTATATATTATATGTTTATGATTATATTAGTGGATAATTTGTACCTCTCAAATCAAGATTATGTGAAAATTGCTGTTATTATTCTTAAATTTTACCAAAAATATGCGGACAAAAATTCTATTTTTTGCCTAAATTTGGAGAAAGTCAGCTGATTTCGAGCTCGTCACGAGCCGAAAAATCGAACAAAATTTGAGCTAATGTGGCGAGCTGCTCGCGAGCCAAAATCGAGCTAAGCTCGCGAGCTATAATCGAGTCGATCTCGAGTGCCCCTTTTCTATATCGAGTCAAGCTCGAGCTTCATTTTTCGAGCTCGACGAACTCGAGCTCGAACTCGAGCTCGCATATAAATAAGCCTAACTCGACTCGATAAGTTCAAAACTCGACTCGACTCGACTCGTTTGCACCCCTAGGCAGGGATGAGGGGTAATAAACAAGGTTGTCTTCTAGAATACCTATGCTCTGATTTTCTACATTTTCTGCTTGCCCCTACACTGTGTAACAAGGTTGAAGTCTCTTGATGTCACTGCCTACAGAGTGTTGTAGGACATCAATAACTAGGTTGTTTCGACGATGGCGGGTAATGATCAAGGTTGTTTTCATGAATGCCTGTGCTGCTATACTTCATTGTGAATCTCTGTTTCTTTTTGTTTTCCCCCTTTGTGCTTGTGTGTGTGTGTTGTAGGTAGGGGTGAGGAGTAGGTTTTGTTGTTCCATTTTTTAAGTAAATATACCTTCACCTGCTAGCTTGAACAACCACAAATCCTGCCATCAATTGCCAATTATAAGGAGAAAACAGAAAAGCTACAATGTGGATTCTCTCTGTATAAAATACAATTCACTATTTTATGAATGCCATATGCTGGTAATGTGTTCCTACCCAGATTACATTGATTCAAACTCATTAAGTTTAACAAGTTTAGGGATTTATACATCACGAGGAACAACTTTTGTCATATGTAGGAAGACAAACTTATTTTGTATTGATGCTTAGTTGATTTGTGTTAAATGAATTGCTTATTGTAATGAATATGCTTGCAATATTATAAAGCCACATCTTGAAGTCTATTGATGTCCTACACTGTGTAGGCAGTGACCAATTGTTGTTGCTTAACAGGTCCCATAAGTTCGTATTTGCATAATTCTTGACATGTTTCTCTTTTTTGGGTGGCAAAGGAGGCTTCGTTCTTTATTCTGCAATCCATGATACTGATTCCGTGGAATGGAAGATTACCTGTTATGTTCTTCTTGATTAGTTCTCAGTCTTTTCCATGGATTTCATATTTCAGGATTTCCGTCAGCTTCTTGATGAAAAACTTGAACTATCATTGAAGTTGAGAGACTTAACTATTCACTAGGTACAAGAAGGATTTCAAGAATTCTTCAGAAAACTCAATGAGTGATTCCTTTTTCTTTCAGGCAAGAGTAAGTCAGGTAGCCAAGATCTAAGTTTGACGCAGGGAGTGCAAGGAGAAAAGGTCCTTCCTGGGATTGTTCTTCTGTTCGCTCAATTATCTCTTTTCATTGGGCGAAGTGCTATCCCAAGAATTACCGAGGTCACTTTCTGTTCTGTGTTTTTATTGTGTTTGTTTCTGCATTCTACTAGAGAATATGTAATCTCCATTAAATTCTGAAAACTTTCTAAAAAATCCTATCTTTAACGGTGTCAGGAAATAGCTTCTTCCTTTTCTTCTGGTCGTGCTCGGGGTTATGAGTATGGCCCTGCTTTCATCCCTGCAGTGATTTGTCGCACCTTCTGGGTAGCTGGGGAGAAGTGCTTGGACCATGTATGGATTTTTGGATCATCTTTTCCACTACTTGTTCTTGCTCAAAAACTTTCACTTACTATGTGCAAAATTGTTACATTTGTGTAGTGAAATTTGGAGGGCTATTAGCCTAGCTCGCTAGATTCGAGACTCAAAATCTATCTCATATTATTATTTCAAAGAAGCCAAATTTCTTGTTCTCATTCAAAACTTCAGTTTCTACATGCAAAAACTCTACTTTTCACATTTGTGTAGTGAATTTTGGAGGACTATTACCCTAGCTCACTAGATTATGGACACAATCAGATCCTTTGAGGCCATATCTTGCCTAAGAGAATGGAAGATGGAAGTGGAATCCTTGCTTGAAGTAAATATAAATTTTTGAATCTGATGTAAAAAGTAGCCATTGAGTACTTTATTTTTTTCTTTCAGTATGTAAGGTTAAGAGCTCAAAAGATATCAGTTATGTTGCGGACGAGGTTTACAACACCAAACTGGGTTTAAGGTTAGTTAATTCTGTAAAATTTTTGCAGCGAATAGTTCAAAATCTATTCCCTTCATAAGTTTAGCTAATGTTTTGAGCTTCTCCTTTTATGATAGCACAACGAGCCAAGAGAGGTTCATATGTTTGTTGATCTGCTGCTTCAAGAGGTAATTTCTTTCATTTTCTAACATGATCTTTCTGTTGTAAACTCTGATTCTTAACATATAAATGTTTTCTTAAGCTGTGATCAATTTCTGACCTCTTGCAATGTGCATATTTTGTATGAGAGAGAATTGAGAATATAAGATGTTGGAGCTGTCAGAGTGCGTGTGCGTGAGTGTGTGTTTAGCACAAAAGTTCAAGTTTGAGAAAGTTATTAACTTTCTTCATCTCATTCTTTCGTTGACATTTTGATAATCAAGGAACTTACTTTCTTCATTAATCTTGCTTTTAGTTCGAAGCCATAAGAGGCGAAGTAAAGCAGATTTTACCTCCAGAACTTAGCCGTAAACATCGTCGTACAGACAGTAACGGGAGCACCACCACTTCTCGCAGCAATCCTTTGAGAGACGACAGAATGAACCGGTCAAATACTCAAAGGGCCACGAGCCAGCTACTGGAATCCCATCTAGCAAAATTGTTTAAACAAAAAATGGAGATATTTATGAAAATTGAATTCACACAGGTTTGGTAGGAGTGCTTGTTGCTAGGTAATTTACATTATTCCCACCGGTAATATAGCTATTTTTTAGTTCTTTGTAATGATGATGATCCTTGAAGGACATCAAGGACATCAATAAATCAAATTTTCTGACTTTTTGATGGTTTATTAAAACGTTGCAAAGATTTTACTTTTTATAATTAATATTTTAATTTGAATAACAGGATGTTTCTGGGCAAGCCTGAAAATTACACCGCGCATCGTCGCGGTGTTCTCCTCCTAGTCTTATCTTAAATTACATAGAGCGCGGGAAGCTCCAGCTACAGTTGAGTGTCTTGGTTTCAATGTGATTCTCCAGCTGATTTCGTCCTTTTTGATCCTTTCCAAGCTTCCGTGCAGCCCCTTTGGCTGCTGGTGCCTTATTGCTCTCTGCTTTTTTTCCCCTTCTTCCAATTGTGCCATTGTCCTGGTTTCTTTGTAATTTTATGCTCAATTTTGTCCTTTTGTTTGCTGTCCATCCTTCGGCTGCTGCTGCAATTGTTATCTAACAGTTTTGTTCTTTTGTTTCTTGTGCATCTTCCGCTGCTGCAATTGTTATCTAACTTTATTGACAACAATATATTAATTTATCGATTTGATTTATTAACTTCCTTCTTTAACTTTCTCCTTTTTTAAAATATATAATTTCCTCTGCTCTTTTATATTTATTAACTTTCTCCAAAATATATATATTAGCAAAGATATTAATTTTCTAAAAAATACACAAATCAATAAAAATTCTGTGTGCATCTAATATATGCAGAACAATATAAATTCTATATGGTACATTATCTATTCATTGATTTTGAATGAGATATTAATTCATCAATAAATAAATTGCTTCATGATTAAATAAATATTATTCATATATGCTATTCAATCAAACATTATTAATTTTTGATATCAATGAACTAACGAACTCTTCAAAATTGTGTTATCTTTAAATTTTAGAATCTTATTAATTCCCAAAAAAATTGAGTAAGATATTGATTGATCAATAAATAAATTGCTTCATGATTAAATGAATATTTTTTCATATATGTTATTCAATCAAGCATTATTAATTTTTGATATCAATAAACTAACGGACTCTTTGAAATTGTGTTATCTTTAAATTTTAGAATCTTATTAATTCCCAAAAAATTAATGCAAGTACTATTATTTCCAGCAACATTTATTTACAAATCAATCGATCTAATACTCATAGAATACAAAAATGATTATTCGATTAATAAATACAAATATATGATTTCTTAATTTCTAATATCACATTGTTAAAAATCTTTAATTTATATATGTTGCTTCGATATCACATTGTTAATTTATATACAAGAAACAAGATACACACATTGAATAATAAAGATGTTGCTTCGATGATATTCTCTCTTAATTATTGTTTCTTTACTTTTGTTTATTGCAGTTGCGCAGCTGCTACCTTCCATTCCTTAATGCAGACGCGATTTTTTTGGGCTATCCAAATCTATATATATATTCTTGCATCCTATTTGTGTGCCTATATATATATATATATATATATATATATATATGTTCATTTTCTCCAAAATATATATGTCGACAAAAATATGATTTTTAGAAAATATATATATCGACAGAAATTTTGTGTGTATCTAATAAATATAAATCAATTGTGCCACTTTGTATTAGCTTCCATTAATACGACCAATTGTTTTTAAAAATATAGGATAATTTCCCTCTATTTCGAAAATATAACTTCCATAATATTTGTTAACTACTAAATTATTAATTTAAAGCTTTTGCATTTTCGAGACTATTTTTCGAGACTAAAAAAATATTAAATATCAAAAAATTACGCAGGTCACTAAAAATCCTATGTATATCTCATACATACTAACAAATAAAAATTCTATATGTATCTAATCAATATATATAAATCGATTATGCTGTTTTGTATTAATGCATATAAATGAAAATTATATGTGTTTAACCTATATCTAATGTATATAAATTAATAATACTGCCTTGTATTAACATATAATAAGTGTTTTTTATCAAATAATTATAATTTCAAGACTATTTCTATATTTATAATTTTCTCTCCTTCTTTATATTTATCCGCTTATTTATTAACTCGCTTATTAATTAATTTTGTCGAAAGTGTGTATATTGACAAAAATATTGACTATTAAAAAAATGCAAATCACTAAAAATGCTATGCACATCTAATACATAAAATAGCGTTCTTTTTATGTTTATTCACTTATTTATTAGTTTTCTCTAAAATATATATTAGCAAAAATATTAAATATGAAAAAAATGCAAATTCTTAAAAATCCTACGTACATCTAATATATACAAATGAATAAAAATTCTATGTGTATCCAATTACTATATATAAATCAATTATGATGTTTCGTATTAAATATCAAAAAAATATGCAAGTCGCTAAAAATCCTATGTACATCTAAAACATACAAACAAATTATTAATTCTATATGTATCTAATCAATATATACAAATCGATTATGATGTTTTGTATTAATGCAGATCAATGAAAATCATATATGATTAGCATGCATCTAATAGATATAAATTAATAATACTACTTTGTATTAACATATAATAAGTGTTATTTATGTGAAATAATTATAATTCGACACTATTTCTATGTTTATAATTTTCCGTCCTTCTTTATATTTATCAACTTATTTATTAACTCGCTTATTTATTAACTTTGTCAAAAGTGTGTGTATTGAAAAAAATATTAAATATCAAAAAATTACGCAGGTCACTAAAAATCCTTTGTATATCTAATACATACTAATGAATAAAAATTCTATATGTATCTAATCAATATATATAAATCGATTATGCTGTTTTATATTAATGCAGATCAATGAAAATTATATATGTTTAACGTATATCTAATATATATAAATTAATAATACTGGCTTGTATTAACATATAATAAGTGTTATGTATGTCAAATAATTATAATTTCGAGACTATTTCTATATTTATAATTGTCTCTCCTTCTTTATATTTATCCGCTTATTTATTAACTCGCTTATTTATTAATTTTCTCGAAAGTATGTATATTGACAAAAAATATTAACTATTAAAAAAAATACACAAATCGCTAAAAATGCTATGCACATCTAATACATACAATAGCCTTCTTTTTATGTTTTTTCGCTTATTTATTAATTTTCTCCAAAATATATATTAGCAAAAATATTAAATATGAAAAAATGCAAATTCTTAAAAATCCTAGGTACATCTAATATATGCAAATGAATAAAAATTCTATGTGTATCCAATCAGTATATATAAATCAATTATGCTATTTCGTATTAATACAAATCAATGAAAATCATATGTACATAACATGTATCTAATGTATATAAATTTAATTAATTTTCTCCAAAATGTATATATTAGCAAAAATATTAAATATGAAAAAAATACGCAAATCGCTAAAAATTCTGCGTGTATCTAATATATGCAAATGAATACAAATTCTATGTGTATCCAGTCAAATATATAAATTGATTATGCTATTTCGTATTAATACAAATGAATGAAAATCATATGTACTTGACATGTATCTAATATATATAAACTTAAAAATAAATCAATCCAATATTTATTGATTCAAAAAACAATTATTCGATCAATAAATACAAATATATGATTCTAAATTTATAATTTCAAATTGTTAAAAATCCTTAATTTGTATATATTATATTTATGAATCTATATTCTTCACTATATTTCTTTTCTTTTAGTTTTTCTAATACTAAACAATTCCATTATCTAACACACGATTTTGAATCTTTGGTGAGTTTCATACAAATTACATTCCAATCAATATAATTCATACACTACATTGCTACTCTCATTTCATAATACAACTACATTTTTTCCCTATTTTCTATCTCAGATACTCATTGGTGATATACCCTCAGCTCGCATATACAAACAGACAACATAAGAGTCATCAATTGCTATCATGGTAAAATTCGGTGGATCTTTCAGCTAGAAGGAATAGAAATAACAGAAAATTGACCAATATTCACACAAAAACACATCTTACATAAAGGAAGTGTCATCCTGTTCACCCTACTCAATGAAAACAATTATCATTTGCAGCTCATCAGCAGAGACTTTATCCAACAATCATAATTAAACGTGTCCACTACAGCTTCTTGCACAACGCAATTATCTGTTTCCTAATTTTTCTTTATTCTACTTCCACTTATATTTAACAATATAAAAATAAACATATTGAAATTATTTCGAATTATTAATTTATCTCAACTCTTAACAAATGATTTACATTCCATTAATTTAAATAGTATTTACATCCTGTTACTCTTAAAAAATTAAATACAAATCACAACAATATTACTATATCTATTTATAAATATATTAATCCAATATATTGCTTCTCTATTTATTATTCCAACTCTACTATTATATAAAACACTCTAAACATTAATTATTAAATAAATCTTACATTACTCTTAAACAGTCAATAATGAGCACTCTGCGAAACTCACGGGGCACAATGCCTAGTATATATATATCTAGAGTTGGCCCGGCGGTACGAGAGAGCTCTTAGAAGTCAAACAGCAGTTAACAAAAATGTTGACATCTCTTGCTCCTGACAAGATTTTCTTCTGCAATTATTTGATAAGAAGGGTCCTTCCTTCAAGATTAGGGGGGCTGACAAAAGAATATCTGCTGCAATTATTTCATAAGGGTCCATCCTTGAGGATTAGATCCTGATTTATTGTAAGGTTTGGAAAAAATCTGGACCGTCCCATGCAAATGTCGAATGTACGGTTTCACTTGTCTAGGTTGCAGACCCAAATCCCTTCCCTTATGGTACCATTGTTCAAAAATTTGGATCTCCTTCCAACAGTGTGCTGTGGTGGAGCTTAAAATAATTCATGCAAATATTCTGACAGCAGAAAATTATATCTGAGGTCTTAGCTGTTTGTTGCATTTGATTCCATTAGAGAGGCCTGATTAGGGAGGAGCATATCACTCAAACCTGAAACAGTCAGTTAC